AGTTTCTTAATGAACGATTACCCAACAGGTGAATAGGTCAACCAGGGCCATTGGATGGCCACCACGATCACTACTACCTCACCCCAATGGATTTCTTTGGGGTGATGTCAAAGATAAAGGTTTTTTTTGTTTGTTTTGGTTTTTTTACAAAAACCACATACCGTGGATATGAGTCACTGCAAAAGAGAAGCATGACAAGAAACTGATGACAATAAAAAACTCTGTTCCAAAGTGTCACAAGTAGACCTACAAAAATGTATAAATAAGGCTGGCAAATTGAACACTTACAAGATTATACCTAAGTGCACTGAGCCATTGTGACATTCCTTTGAGTTAATAAAGCAATTGCAATAAAAAAATAAATAAACATAGAAGAACAGATGAAGGAGACTTGGGGAGAAGAGATGAGAGGAGACAGTAGTCCTGAAAGGACAGGGGCTGACTGGAAATGAAGATATACCTGCTCTGACCTGCTTACATTTTTTAAAAATGTAACTTTACCATGCTTCATTGACAGCAGGACATAGTGAGTTGAGTGCTTCATGGAGTTCGTAATTCTTTAGATGATTGTAGAGAAGCCAAATACAATAAATAATAGCAGAAAGTCTGGGGAAATAAACCTTACTTTGGTGGAAATATCCATTACTTCAGAAATTTTAAGAAACATTGACTAAGTACTGTGGATTTTATGATGGCTAAAATAAACTTCTTGTAAATAAAATTTTGCTTAAAAACATAATTTTTAGCTATCAAAAAGAGAGTATAAAAAGAGGTATCAAGCATGCTTGGGGCAGGATATCAAGTGAGTCATTACCAGAGACCGAAAGGAAAGGAAAGCTAAGGAAATGCCTAAAACCAAGTGGTTACATGGAGTAGGAGGAGGAGGAGGGAGAGAAGGAAGGAGAAAAAGCAAAGGAATAAATGCTCAATTAGTGTTATAAATTGTTCTTTCTTCTCCAGGATATGTAGTGTGTGCATCAAAGAACCCCACCGTCAGATCCTCAATGATGTGGTTCCATTCACTGCCCCTAAAATATGGTTTCTATTTTGCTACAAAAGTTTTATTTACTCTAAAACATTGATTTGAAAATGAGCATGTGTTACTCCTTACATACACTACCTCTGTAAGTAGGCTTAATAAGATGATTACTTGCGATTCAGGAATAAGAGAGTAATTACTACAACCAAATAAACATAACTCAGGGCAATCTTAGTCCTCTCACCCTCTCTTTAGTCAGTTTTAAGATTGTATTTTTTAAAAGAAATTATAGGAAACAATGTGTGATATTATATGCTACAGTTATTTCAAATCCTAACTGAAATGCTTAATCTGATAATATATTAAATCTACTATATTGTATTATATGAGAATAGAGGAAAATGTAACTATGTTATTTATGTCTCAAGATACACCTACCATCAATGTGTGAGTTCACCTGAGAAGTCAGCCTAAAATGGATCTGAGCTTTGAAGCGAACAACCGGATGAAGTTGTTCTCTAGTTCAGTCAACCTCAGCTCCTCAGAATTCCTGTTCCCTAAACATTTCAGCCTCGCATTTATGTGCCCCACCTGTCTCCATGACAGATATAGTAAAGCATCAATTTCTTCCATTTATTTTGAAGTGTATGTCATATACATCTTATCTTTTCTATTTTAATGAACAATAATGAATACCTATAAATTAAGCAATCCATCTATTAATTCATAGTGCAAGCATTTACTCAACGTCCAATTCTATGGTGTGCTCAGCACTTTCCCAGGGATTTAACATTTCTAACTTAAATTCTGTAAAAGTATCTGTATCAGTGAGGACTGAGTTTGGCCTCAAGTAACAGAAAGCCACATATTAGTAGCTTAACCATTTACGTATTTCCTTCTCCTAAGCTAAAGTCCAGGGTTGGCTGCAGAGGCTCCATGATGTCACTCACACCTCAGGATCACTTCATCTGCTCATTTTGCTATTTTTAGTGGGTGGCTTTTATCCTCATGTTTGTAATCACATGGTAACAAGTGCCCGGTCACTTCCCTTGTCATCATTCCAACAAGGAAAAGGAAGAAAGTCAAGTGTATCAGTCACCATCTAAAGTACATTTTTCAGAGCAAAAGTATTGGAAAAATTTTGATCAATGTTGGGGGCAATTTGCCTAAACCTTCAGCTGGTCATTTATTACCTAAAGTACTTCCTCTTTTAGCTATGTACATGGAAGTTTCATCATAAGTTTGCTCCTAGAAATAATCCTCAGATTGTTCCATTGTTTTTACTTCTATTTCCAAAAATTTGTCCATCTTTCTTCCCCTTTGTTTAAAGTTTGGAATGTTTACTATATTAACAAAAATCCCTCTGCCACATTCTTGAATACATTTTAAATTAATCTTTCAAATAAAAACTTGTCAAAGATTGTCTAAAAATATTAACACTATCCATCAGTTGGTGAGCTTAGAACAGATATGACATTTACTTGCCTGTAATTCATGGGGTTCTTTCTACAGTCCTGATCAATGGAATTTCCATGATTAATCCATCATTTTTATGAAATAATAGATGTTCACAACATCATGGTACACATTTTTAACAAACACATACTCCTTCCTCCACTTCTCCAGTAGCACAGCCATTTTCCTATTTCTTTAATTGTCAAAAAGATTTCTTTAAATTCTCACCCGAGGATTTGTTCTCATTGATTTTAGAGAGAGAGGAAGGAAGAGGGAGGAGAAACACTAATGTGAGAGAAAAACATCATTTGGCCGCCTCCTCCATGCACACCCATGAAGGATGAAACCTGCAACCTGGGTATGTGCCCTGACCGGAAATTAAACTCATGACTTTTTGGTGCATAGGATGATGCTCCAACCCACTAAGCAACCCAGCCAGGGCTCAAAAAGAATTCTTTAAAATTAGAGTAGTGTGGTTGTTTTAAAGGTCACCAGGTCTTTCAAAATATATTGTATTCTATGTAGCAAAAACATCTTTATGTTCTTTAACTATCGGAGGTGGGTTGTGCTAAATGATTTATGAATAGAAAAATATTATTCTATTGCACTGAAGGTCTTCTTTTTAAAAGAAAACTGATTTCAAAGAGAGGAAGAGAGAGGGAGGAAGAGAGAGAGAGAGAGAGAAAGAGAGAGAGAGAGAGAAGCCACACGGCCGGGCTGGGAGAGAATCACAGATCAGCTGTCTCTTGCACACCCCCTACTGGTGATCACTTCCGAAACTAGGGCATGTGCCCTGACCAGGAACCCAATCTGTCCTCCTGGTTCACAGGTTGATGCTTGACCACTGAGCCACACGGCCGGGCTGAAGGTCTTTTTCCATATTAAAATTTTCACAGACATATCCCACTGAGGCTGGGGACAGGACCAATTGTTCTCCTCATTAGAGTCTATAGTTATTTTCTTTTAAATTGTGGTAAAATACATATAAAATAGAATTTACTATCTTAACCACTTTTCAGTGTATTGTCTGCACTGTATTTCAGTGTATTGTCTGAACTTTTAACATTATCTCCAAGAAGGAACAAAGGACCATAGACACATTTTTAAAATAGCAAAAACAACACCTCGTTCATTTATGGAACTATGAGGGACCACTCAACATTCAGCTAAGGGTTGTTAACTAATCTGAGTGTCCCTTTATACTGAAATTAGATACTACTAATAATAGGCATTAGAAGTAGCTAGGTAAATAGTTAAGGATCAATTTGCTAAGTTGTGTAAATTCCTTAAACACATCAGAAATTAACAGAATGTAAAATACTATTTCCTAGCCAGCTTGCTTCAAGCACTTCATCAAAAATACCAGGGGGAAATATTTTCTGCTCTACTTATTTTCATGTCATATTATTATACTCTTATTTAAAAAGACTTGTTTAAAAAGATAATAGGCAAATAGAATTCACAGGTGGTAAAAATAATCTAGTTGGAGAATATCCATCTATGAAAGTTAAGTTTTATCATTAAAAAAAAATTTAGTAAAGAAGATTGAGAAACGAATGTAACAATTATGGTACAAGAACTGCGGCAGAAAGGAAAGAGCACAGACTTAAAAGACCTAAATAAAATCTCGGATCCACCACTCACTGCCGTATGTGTGACATCAGTAGGCTATGCCCCGTCTCTGAGCCCCAAGATGCTGATCTGTGAAGTGGTGATAGCGCCCCCTCTCCCTCAGAGGGTGGCTGGGGTAACATGCTTGGAGACACACAAGTCAACGCACATGGAAACACCTGGCACGCTGCCTAGCATCAAGTGGCTCTCAGGGAATACCTTTTCCTTCACTCCCTCCGGAATAAATAGAATTTAGAGCCTTGTGCATAACTCCCGACAAAAAGAATGACTTTTTCATAGATAAACAGTTTCTTCACTTGAGTTTTTATAGACGATTTACTCTAAGCACAGATATGATCATAGAAGTATGGAAACAAAAGCAAAGAAAGCCTATCTTGAGAAGCATCTAACAAGCAGCTTTCTTTGTTTCATGGGACATGCTTTGTGGTTACAATGCAGGCTTCCAATGAACACCAGATCAGAATTAACATTCTAGGCAGACATTCAACTTTTATGATTGTGTCCGTTCTTCACTGAGCCTGGGAAACGAACACTGTAGAAGTTATTTATTGAAGATATTCCCATAGTACTCCTACACAGTTCATTTCCAAAAGAGGCCTTATCCCTTTAATGTATCTGAGTAAGTAAAAAACTACACCATGGTTTCTTGCATTGTACTTTCAAAACTGCAACAGGGGTAATAAAATCATGTTTTTAACAGAGGCTTTCTGAAGCGAGGCCACAGCAATTTTGCAAAGATGCATGATAAATTATAGGAAAGGAGACCAAACAAATTTCAAAAGTAAAGAATACCAATCCAAAATGATTTATGACCACCTTTTGAATAAAATTAAGTATAGAATAATTAGCAGAAAGCATTTAATTTAGTTTTCCTATTATGAATGTAAAGTTGGCACAAATGCAGTAGGCCTAATCAAAATCAGGTAATAGTTACCTCTGTGGCCTTGCTTGATGGTTCCAGTCCAGTCATATTTGCTACTATTAACTGATGTAAGAGTTGAACTTGAGCCACACTCAGGAAGAAATCCAGGTTTGTGGTTATATTCACTTCCAAGGAATGGCCACACACTAAAATCTCCTGAAGGAAAAAAAGGTTGAATACAGATAAAGAAACATGATAGCCATTAGATGATAATTCATCATTCTTACTTATTTGACCTTTACTACAGTGATGAATTCTCATGGGACCCAAGTTCATTTGTTAATGAGAATAGCAGAAATGGTGAGCCCAGCCACTCAACACTGTTTAATGGATTAATTCAATAAACATTTATAAGGGCCTGCTATGCGTCAGGCTGTGTGCTAGTTATAGCACAACAAACTAACAGTAAGAATTTTTCACTATTTCATATACATTTGGCATTTTCATATCTCACTATTTCAATAAGTGATGATGGAGGACGTTAGCATAGTCTTGTTCATTCATTCAAACCAACAAATATTTACTCAGCACCTCCAAATTACCACGCACTATACTGGAGTGGTAGGAATATCACAAAGAATAAGGTTGACCTTGAGGGGCAACCTGCTCTTGAGGAGGTTACAATCTGGCTGAGCAGACAGATGTAAACAGGCAATTGTAGGCAGGCAATTACAATCACAAGTGGTATGGTCTGAGTACTCTCCAAAGGATACATTCCAAATGATTTATAACAAAACACAGTGCTGAAGCCAAAAACAGCTAGACTAATTAATTTAACTTCAAACTGCTAACATCTTGGCAGCGTTAGGTAGATGTCCACTACTGGACTGGTGCTGCTCTGCGTAACTGAGTCACTTGAACATTCTTTGCTGGAAAACCATTCAGAGAAGGAAAACAGAAATGAAAAACGACCCAGAAGCTTCACTTAATAAGCAGAAGTCCTGCCTCTGGTCATGAAGTGCATGTGGACAGTGTTCAAAAGCTTGGAAACATCCACAAACTTTCTCCATTAGTATCATCCAAGGGAATGGATTTAAGGAGACTTATGACTCATCCAAATACAAACTAAACAGCTTAGAGCAGGTTTCAATAAAGTCATAAAGAACGGCATGTCGAAAATGATTATCCCCCCTTTTTTTTTGTTAAAAAACCTTTTCCTTACAAGTACCTTGTGTTTACTCATTATAGTTAGAATTCTTATTTTATCCCTCAGGTAATGATGAAAAGGAATATATTCATGTATTTTAAAGCAATTGTGTTACTAAGTAACTGTAAGATATTAGATTTAATTTTTATATAACTTCTGTGAATATATAAGACACTATATCTAACCTAACGTTCTGTATAGGGCTATTATAAATATCAAATAAGATAACATATACAAAAATATTGTTTATAAAAAATTCAGGGAAAGAATGGAAAGTTATAGTAGTGTCGATTACTATATTTAATTTGTACCTAATTTCTCTGAACTTTTCATAATAACTGCCTTTAAGTGATCGCAAAATTTATGAAGTTGTCAGTATAACAAATTTCTATGAAGAACCTTGTTTTCTTTTTTTTATGGATGACATTCAATATTATTTTGTATTAGCTTTAGGCATACTGCACAGTAGTCAGGTAATTTTATACTTCACAAAGTGCTCTCCCCAATATTTCCAGTACACACCTGGCACCACACAGACAATATTATAGTTATATTGACTATATTCCCTGGACTTTATATCCCTGTGACTATTTTGTACTACCAATTTATAGTTCTTAATCCCTTAACCTTTTTTACCCAGTCCCTCAACCCTCTTCCCTCTGGCAACCATCAGTTCTCTGTATATATCAAATCTGTTTAAATTTTTTTTTCATTGATTTTGTTCTTCAGATTCCACACGTTAGTGAAATCATATAGTATTTGCCTTTTTCTAACTGATTTATTTCACTTAACATAATACTATCCAGGTCCCTCCATGGGTAAGAGATCCTTCTTTTTTATTGCTGCATAGTATTCCAATGTGTAAATGTACCACAGCTCTTTTATCCATCCGTCTACTGATGGACAGTTAGGCTGCTTCCAGAATTTGGCAATTGAAAATAATGCTGTAAAGAACATGGGGATGCATACATTCTTTTGAATTAGTGTTTTGGTTTTCTCTGGATATATACCCAGAAGTCATTCACTGAGTCATAAGGCAGTTCAGGTTTTAATATTTTGAGGAAACTCCAGACTGCACCAATCTGCATTCCCACCAACAGTGCATGAGGGTTCCCTTGCTAAGAGAAATGTCAGAGAGTTTACTACCTATGTTTTCTTCTGCGATTTTTATGGTTTCACAAATGACATTTAACTCTTTAATCCATTTTGAGTTTTATTTTATGTATGGTATAATTTGGTCATCTAGTTTCTTTTTTTTCATGCATCTGTCTAATTTTCCCAACACCATTTATTGAAAGACTGTCTTTATCCCACTGTATGTTCTTGCCTCCTGTGTCAAGTATTAATTGACCATAAACGGATGGGTTTATTTCTGTGCTCTTATTCTATTCATTGATCAATATGCCTGGTATGGTGCCAATATCATGCTGTTTTGATTACTATAGCCTTATAGTATACTTTGATGTCAGGTAGTATGATACCTCCAACTTTGTTCTTCTTTCTCAAGATTCCTGTGGCTATTCGGGGGTCTTTTGTGGTTCCATGTAAATTTTCAGAATGTTTGTACTATGAAGAGCTTTTTAAAGTTATGATGAACTGCATTATTATTACATTTCTGCTCTAGGCATGGAGTCACTGATACACAGTGATCAGACTTGAAACCTGGACACACCAATGATTGGCTAACATGGATCAAGTCAAGTAACATAATCTCTTTTGCTGTTTCCTCCTTCATAAAACATGGCTACTAATAACATCTATCTCATAAGGATGTTGTGAAGACTATGTAAGGTAATCCAATTGAGAACTCTAAATTATCTGTCAGTAATATTGGTGCTTTCATTAGAAAGAGGTTGTACAGGTTGTGTATAGTCTGAAGCCAAACCATTTGGGTGCATAGCATGCTTGCCATTTACTACTTGTGAACATTTGGACAAGTTATTTGGATTAGTTTTTTATGCTTCAGTTTTCCCATTTGTAAAATGAGGGCAATAGAAGCAAATATAATTATTATGAGGATTGAACGAGTTATTACATACAATAAGTGAACAGTACTAGAAAGTGCTCAATAATAGCTGCAACAGTAACTTATTAACAAGCTAATTTAATATTCTGTGCTCTGAAAATATGAAAGCCCCTAACATACAAAGAGGAGCTGCTCCATTATTCAGACTAAAATGAGACCTAAATTATGCTCTGACCTCAGTGTGCATATTTTCTGGAGAAATTATTTTGGTGAAAATGATGGCAGGTGCTCCAGTTATTCGGACAGAAAAATCTGTTAAAATGGGAGTCATAATTGCCCTTCTTTCTTGATGCCGCCGTATGCTAAAAAATAAAGAACAGAATTATTAGCCATTGCATTATTTTTCAAGAATAAGTTTCATTAAATTTGTACAAGTCTTTGAACTACAACATGTATGACAAAATCACATTATTTTGGGATTGCCTCTTTATATATTTTATAGTCATAGTTCTGTAACTTCAGTACTTAACTTCAGATTTATAAAGGATATAAAAACCATTGAGATATTCAGATGTAGTCATTTAATATTAGTTGCATCCTAATACTTTTCAAAAAATTACTTTGTTTTTAATTCCGCTTATTTTTACAAATAGCTTCGTATCTTTTTTGTTACCAATACTCTGTTTTGTGATAATTTTTAATTCCCTATATTTTATATTACTGACCTTCTAGTTGACATCGGTCCTCTTAACAATCTCACTAGGTTCCCAAGTATATCCTCTTAATCTTTGACCTCTTTTTTTAGCTCTAAGAATCCTCTGTTCATTGATTATTACTGCCTTTAAAGCATGTGGAATGGCACTTCTGACTTTGATACTAAATGCTGCTTCACAACGAAACTGTATGTAGAGTAAGGAGCATTATTAGCCCCATATTACCCCATATTACCTCTAAGGAAGGAGGTTCAGGAACAAAGATTACACAGTTGGGCAATGGAGGGAACTTGATACCAGAGCAGTACTTGGCCTCTGTTTTAATTCTTCTTTGTATATTTCCACTTTTGATCAGTTATTTAGTATGACATTTCTACTCTACATTAAAAATTGCTAATAACTTCAAAGGAAGTATTGCAAATGTGGTAGAGAATGAAATTAGAAAACCTTATTAAGAAACCAAAGCTTGTGCTAGTACAGATCTTCAGGTCTACTATTCACATTCTTAGTTTCCACTTTATGAAATAATACAATATGTCTTACTAGCAAGCCATGCCCCAAAAGTTCCAAGGAACCATTAATTTAAACTTCCTCATAACTGCATTCCTATTAATCCTTTATATTATAAAATGATAAAGTTGAGATCAGTGACTGACATGTTATCTCATGAAAAGGTCAGAGAAACTCAAGTCTTTCCACTTGCTTTTCCAGCGGAGTCTTGAGGTTACTAGTATCTCTTGTTGAATTTCGCAATGGGCAGAGCTTTATATGGTGTCTGCCAGAAAAGAAAATTGGATCATCTGGTTCTGTGGCACATACATATTGGATTTTAAGAAAGTCAATTTTAAAGAATTAAGAGATCTGGTGAACAGAGGGTAACAGGAAGAAGTATTAAAATCTGTGAATACTGAGAAAAGGCTGAGATCCTGAGAGACACCATAATTATAGCCTAATAGCTCAAATTCCATAAAGTGACCAATGTGAGAAGCATGTACCATGGTGATGTACTCTCATAGGGGAGTGCTAATATATACCTTTTATTAAAAATACCTTAAAGTGGGAAATATGGCAAGGAACCAAATAAAAGCAAACATTACCTAAAGTACTAATGAAAAAAAGCACTTTTCTGTATCATAACTATTTCTCCATTATATGATGAATTAAATCAATTATACAAGCTTTAAAAGACCGATGACCTTGGAAATAAAAAGAAAAGCTTAAAAAGTCCTATAAAACTATAACTTTTCTGGTACACAGTGATCACTTTTGTGTTATTCTCTGTTCAGTATTTGAGGTAATAATACACATTTTAAAAATCATCTTTTTTAGATTCAAATATTTTCAGGGATGAATTTTAACGAAAAAAGCAACACAAAAATAACTACAACAAGAATTAAATTTTACTACCATTTTACTAGATAATAGTCTAGGCTTAAAATAACAAAAGAGAAGCAAAACTCAAAATACTAACTGACATTTTTAATGACTTCAAGGTCTTAACCACTTTCAGTAAACCAAGGGAATAGATTTTTAATGGCCATATTGAGACCTCAGGCTAATTCTCGCATCCCTGATAGGCAGGACTTTGAAACGAGCTGGCTATCTGCACCCTTAAGGGCCAGAAAAATATCTACCATCAGAAACAGGGACGAATGAGGAAGTTTCCCTCTCTTGGCAAGAGAACTTGTTGAAAAAAAAACACACAGATATCTCCCTAGAAAATATAGGAAATAATGAGTGATCCTTCAACCATGTTTCATAGATCTAATTTATATTACCTATGTTGGTCCAAAAATACCTATTCGGAATAATTTACATAAAAGTGGCAACACACCTCTGATAACCCTGAGCATCTATCAGAAATAGAACATTTTCTCAAACTGACAAAAAGCGTTCTCAGGGACAAAGACCAGTGAAGATAAGTTCCTAATCACAGATTATTTTTTATGCCCCACAAAAAATTATTCCTTATTAGTAAGAGGGAGAAGTCAATCATATCATCATATTCATTGTTGAGAACTTCTGATAATGTTATTACCACATAGGGACAACAAAATCAATTTGTTTAAAACTATTAAAGATATATAGGATGGAATAAAAACATGAATAAAAAAGGCAAAACTGATTTGAAAAACAAGTAAAACAATATAGTAATTAAAATTAAATATATAATAGATGAATAGTTCTTCAGATTTGCTTAAGAAAGGTTACTAGTAAAAGAGGTAAGTCTGACATATTTAATTGCCTTTCCAAACTGAGAGAATAGAAAGAAAGAAAAGGTGATAATATTAAAGAAATAATGACTGAGAATTTTTCAGAACTGATGAAATATAGGGATACACAAATTTAGGAAGCACGATTACGGGTTCAGATAAATATCATAAAATCCACAATCAGACACATCTTGCTGAAACAGCTATGCACTTACGATAAATAAAATATATTAAAATAAGCTAGAGAAGAGATAGAAAAATATTTCTCTGATATACTCTAATATGACAATGACTTAATATATCTTTACATTGTCCATAGAAACAAGGAAATAGTACAGTGGTTTGTACTATCATTGAACATAGAGGGTTAAGCCCACAGAAACTTATAAAACCCTCTTTGAGGACAAAAAACATTGACAATCATAAGGTGCAAATCAAATAACAGGGAGTAATCATATGTGTTAACAAAAGCCATTGTGTTAAGCTTTGGGGGAAGTAGATTGCAAGTAAGGAAAAGTATGGTTTCTGAGAGTGTTACTAATCAAGAAGGCATAATGATAAGCCACATGCACTCATGAAAATATGTGTTTAGGAAGTCAGTGGTCATTTTGGGGGGCTCAGCATATTTATATTAAGGTTCTTCTGCCCACCATACATTTGGGTCTGACTTTATGGATAATATTCAAGCAGTTTAAGAACCCTACTTCAAAAATCACATAATATAAAAGGCTAGGAAAAACATTACTAAGGCTTCCAACATATTACACCAAAAATACAGAATAAAAAATGACAAACAGCACATTTGAAAGCAAAAATTAATAAAGAAATAAAAATCCCTCTTTAAAAAAATAATACAATTGAAGTAGGCCTTTAATCAATAATGTATGGGACTTAGACTAACATATAATTCTGCTTAGGTATTAGTTTGATATTTTCACAAATTAATAAGATAAAAGTGATGGGTTTGGCCCAGGCCAGGTAGCTCAGTTGGTTAGAGTGTCCTCCTGATTACACCAAGGTTGCGGGTGGGTTAGGTCCCTAGTCAGGGCATATATAAGAATCAACCAATGAACGCATAAATAAGTGGAACAACAAATTGATGTTTATCTCCCTCTCCCTCCCGTCCTCCCCCCCTCTCTCCTTCCTCTCTCTAAAATCAATCAATAAATTTTTTTTTGAAAAGAGAAGAAAAAAAAGGTAATGGTTTTCAGGTTAAATAGTAAGAACAAAGAAAATGCTTTTATGCCACATTCCTGTTAATGATTTCAGGTACAATTCCTGAAGGAGTTCATACATGATTAATCACAAATCAAATAGGCAAGGGCTCCTGTGAATATTTGGGTAATAAATTTACTTCAAAAAATAAAAATAAGAGATCAAAGACAAATGAAATAGTCACAATCTCTCAGAATTAAGCCAACAATATATGCTTCAGGGACTTTAATGTCAACACAAGTCCAATGTTATCAATCCTGTGAAGCATAGGATGACTGAGTTTCAACTTGCTAAAAGCAAGCATAGTAACAATGATTTAAAAATATCCTATGTAGGGGGGAGGTAGGAAAGGCCTACAGAGTAGTATATGTAAATGATATCTGTGTATCAAAATATTTAAACAAATGAATATGCTGAAACTATTTCTCTGACAATAAAATTTGAAAGAAAAATTACCCAGGGAAATCAAACACAGGTAGAATGATAGGGACAAATAAAAAGTGTTGTGATAAAAACTAAATGATTTATTTTTTTAAGTATAGTTATAACTAAGTTTATTCAAATTAAATCTTTAAATAATATAAACAGGAAAATTATATTAACATTAATTTAGAGAATTAAGGCTTACAGGCATTTGAACAAAATTACAAAATAAACTTTCCATCCCCCATTGCCACACACCCAGAGGACTAATCACCATGTGAAACAGCAATAGTGATTTGAATGTGTAACCTGCATATGGCAGACATCAGTATAGGTTGTTTTAGTTCTCAACACTTCATTTCCTCATATTATAAAATAAGCCCAGATGTAGTAAAAATGGTTACTAAGAGAAAAAGGTGAAAAAAAGTGATTAACAATGAACTTTAGCATTAAGTGTAAGGGGTCAGAACATTGAGAAAAAGAAAAGTAGTTGATTTTTACTAAGAGGAAGCAAACCAGGGTCCTACACTTAGCTCTATTTTAAGTGCTATTGTACAAGCCAAGAAACCTCCTCACTTATGGTGGTTTTATTCTGTAACAAATTGCTAGTAAGAATGGTTTGAAGTTCAGAGAGAAATTTGTATGGGATTTGGAAGGTGTAAAGGAAATGGTAGCCAATATACCCTTAAAGTCACGCTGTTTTAAATGCGTGAGATTCCGATGCGGAGGTGCTGACAGGTTCTAGCTTATCTCCACTCTTCCTGGCTTTGTAATGAGCTCTTTTCCTGACCTACCAGGTAGTATTTGGTTTTAGGCAAACCACTTATTTTGTCTAGGCCTTAGTTACTTCATGCATAATTAGGGAAAACAGTTCTTACCTCTAACATTATTGTGAAGTTAGGTAAAGTGATAAGCATTATATAATCTATTAGCGGCCCTCTGCAGGAATCCCTGCGCAAGTAGCTCACTGCCGCCTGCCTCAGCTGGCCGCCCCGCCCACCACCACTCTCTGCCGCAGGCTAGCCTCACCCTCCTGTTGATCGGTCGTTATGCAACATGGCGTAACGACCATTTGCATATTACCTCTTTATTATATAGGATTATTGATGTTATCACTATTATTAATACCAAGACTAGGATAAATATAGTTCTGGTGTTAAAGGAACCAAAGCAATCACCATTGCAAAAGGCATACCACAAAGTCTACACATAGTGTTTTAAATAAATCCAATTAACAAATCAACATGGTATGTTATCAGCAACAGATATTATTGAATCATATAAATTAAAAATAAAAACAGTGAAAAATAACTAACACTTTCTTACATCATAAAAACCATTTACAACAGACAATGCGCACTTTTTACAATATAAAAGTATCTTTAATGACCAGTACCTTCTTTCTAGAAAACAATTGTGTCCTGATGAGAGCCTCAAATAGCCCAGGTAAGGTGGCAGTGGTTCTACAAATCTTACAGCTTACATTCAGGACTAATTCCATTTTACATTTTTCTGTGAACATACCTGCCTTCGGTTAAAATGAACTTTAAATAACCAACCAGTGTCATTTTTGCTTTTCTCCTCTTATTATTATGTGTGCTGCCAAAGCAAGCACTTCTCTTATTACAAGCAGAAAGCAGACACTTAAAACAAAATGAATACAATGACCTTGAATACAATGTATTTCAAGGGAAAATGTGAATGTAACCTTAGCCTGAAGTGGAACCTTTCAGCAAATAGCAAGGTTTAAAAAAATGCTAACACAATCTTAAATTTGCAATAATTACAGTGTAATAATAGGACTAGATTTCCAGTAAAATCATGAAATTCAATTACAAAATGTATTTATGTTTGTCATGCAGTGCAGAAGTAATACTAAAACCTTCAGGTTGGGCATGCTAATGATTATATCACCAACTGATCTGGCAAAGAAATACACAAAGTGCGGCAAGTTTCTCCATCACCTCCTACCTGCTGGCCATATTCCATTCCAGGGCTGGGTTCTCAGAA